ATCTCGGCATGCTGCTGCAGATCCAGGGCGTCGTGACCATGATCTGGAAGTGCGACTCGCTCATGATGACCAACTCGATCGTGCTCTGGCTGACGATCATGTACCTTGTTATCGTGCAGAGTATTTTTCTGCGGCGCAGCGTGGTGTGTATCGTGCCTGTCTACCTTTCCAAGAACATCGTTGGTCTCGCGATCCTTTTCGTCTGCTTCTGGGGCAACGCCAACCTCCAAGTGCTCACGACCTTTCTCATTCAAAACCCAATCGGTACCTTTAACGCATCGTTTTACGCGCTGCTCGGGCCTGTTCAAGTCGCGTCGATCGTCGGCATCATGACGGGGACGCTGATTCAGATCTGGTTCATGCCTCGCTTGGTGACGCAGACGTGGCTGATCCTTGTCATCAGTGTCACCAACTGGATTCTGGTCTTTTCGCTGGAAGCGTTTGTGTTTCCGTACCGCAACCAGAACCTCCCAACCTCTTGCGAACTGCGCACGTCGACTAGCTGCTTCACGTACAGTGCGATTCGTCGCACGTACTACCTCTCGGCCATGATCTCGGGCGTCGTCGTGCTCATCGGTATCGCTGTCATTTGGCTCCACGGACACTGGCTGCCGGATGACATTCGTGTCCCAAAATCGCACTCTCTGCGCGAATACCTCAACATACCGCACCTTCGGGTGCTCGCGACGTCGCTCCGCGGCTGCTGCATCGCGTACAAGGATGACGTCCTCGTCGACGACGGCCTCTTGATCATGAAGAACGTTCTGCGCATCTCGGCGACGTGCATGACGCGACTCAACAACGTGCAGTACGAAATCATCTACCGGTACCTGCCGCGGATCGCCAAGCCGTTTTTTAGCAAGCAAGTGGGTACGTTCCTCGTCTTCCACGTGAAAGAAGAGACGGGGCGTATCACCCACCGCTCCAGCTACAAGTGGCTCGCGGACGTTGGCATTGACGATGGATCGATGGCCCATTGGCGTGCGGGTTTCCACTTTTGATGAACGAGAGATGACCTTAGCCTCCACTGGTTTTATGGCTCTTGGTACATTGGATTCGAGTTGTCGCATCGCTCGTAGCTGTCTGCCCCCACAAAGACACTCACACCGGGGGCTTCAACGCGAGTTAATGGACTGCTCGCCATCGCAAAAGCACAATTTGCGGGCCTTCACGTGGCGCTGTACTGTCTGGTGTTCCAGCCATTTAGCCAACTTCCCCGCTCACAACAATGAGAGTGCAGCAACTAGAGCTATGGTCATTTCAGAGCAGGCACGAAGTGTTCAATGTGGTAGACGTATAGCGTGGTCGTTGTCCAGTTCGCTACAGACTACAAGAAGATGGAGACGCAGCGTGCAACCGATATTTCTGCAATCTGGACGACATGGTGATCCCTACCAAGGGAACATAAATTGAGGTACATATTTCATGTACCCTTGTCCCCATGCGCGCACGACCAAGCTAACCTGTTGTGGCTCCTCATCCAACGCTGGGATACCCGAGCCCGAAGCCGAAGAAGCTTGTAGTCGTTATCTCGAGCTGTTACATCGCCTGCCGTCCGTTTGAGCAAAACCGCAGGTAAACCGCCGTCCCTTTCTAGCAAAGCCACAACCGCCGGCGTCCAAGATTCGAGCCCACCAACAACACACACTTGGGTCCAAAGCAGCTACTCGTTTTAACCACGCCACCCATAGCTCTACGTGGGCAGCTCCGCTTTCGTGTTAGCTTGCATGAGGCGATACATTATGAGGGCCACGTCCATTTTTCACTTGACGAGTTCAAATGTAAAAATCCACCATAAATCCTGAGAGAGCGCAGAGCATCTCAGCGAGTCGTCACGCACGAGTCGCACGAGAAGGTTATCGCGGGACAGCCGGCGCCAACGCACCCTCCACACGCGTCTGCTATAGGACCTTTTCGTCTACCAACCTCTTCATTGTCGTCGTTTTATAACGCACTGCTTTTCCCAGCGTCGATATCACAAATAGATCATGTCAAAAAAGATCTCAAAACGCCGTGCGGTGATTGGTTCGATTGAGCCCGCCATGTTGGTCGTTGGCTCTGGTCGTTGCAGCTCGTTGCTCGATCTGAAGTCAGTCAACCACTTGCCTCGGATGAGTGACTCCAAGAAAGACAGCGGGGTCGTCACGCCCACCGATGTATTGCCCGAGTCTAAGGTTGAGTCCAAGGTCGAGTCCAAGGTCGAGTCCAAGGTCGAGTCCAAGACACAGTCCAAGACGCAGTCCAAGATGTCCATCTCCAAGGCGTCCATGTCCAGCATGAAAATGATCGAAGCAATCCAAGCCAAAGCTCCGTTTGGACAAGGCATGCTCCTCGCCGTCATGTACCTCGGGTTCGCGACGCTCGTGGCCGTCAGCACCTACTACCTCAACGGGATTGCCAACACGCCCGTCTACTTTGGCGTCGTCATGCAAGCCTTCGACTACAACCAGTGGGACGTACCCGTCAACACGCTTCTCCAAGGCTCTGGCTTTGTGCACACCAACTACACCGCAGCGCCCGTCGACGGCACGGTCTCCGTTAGCGTACCTTCTCTACAAGACGTGTGGCAAGAACGACCAAGGCTGCGCGGCCACTATTCCTCG